CTTAAAATCTTTATATACTGTTTTGATGAATATTACGCATTTAGCTGCAAAAACAAGGTGTTATATATGTTCTTTCCTTTGAAAAGTTTTATTTTTATATAATTTATAGTCGTTATTACTAGCCTTTTATCATGAAAAAATGTCCTTGCTTATCTTTTACCTCTGTCAGATTACTGAAAGACCTAACTTAGCAGGACTCAATTCCTTATATCCTTTTATATAAGATCTGGCGTATAACTTTAGTCACATGTGTTGAACCGAAAATTATTATGGAGAGCGAATGCCTTATTAGCGGCTTCGAGTCCAGAACAATTATTTTACGTTTGTAGGTAGGGTTTCAAAGTTACCAGTAAATCAGATGTTTGAGACATGTTTACCCTATTTCGTTCAAGGTGATAAAGGACTGATAGTTGAATTTTTCCACAATGATATGAGTAGATCTTACGTCTCCATTGAGTTTCACATAGCTTTGCTTCCCAAAAGGTATTCTCATACAAAAGAAAAATAAGTAAAGCAGTTGATTGCTATAGCAAATATAACTGCTTTATTCACAATTCCACCACACAATGTCATATGAAAATGCCTGGGCTTCCTTGAAATTCACATTTGCCCTGTGACTTAAGGGTACTTGTGGCAATGCGGAATTGTTGTTATCTAGCCGAGATTATACGCTGCAGTAACGTGGTCCGCGGTCAATTGGGGTGTGCTGATGAGACTTAGGCGAGGTCAAATCTGCGTTCCACCCTGGATAAGAATACCCTTTGAGAAAAAAATCTTTGCGAAATTCAGTACTCATATCATTATGAGAAAATTAAACTGCCAATCCTTCATCACTTCGACTAAATAGGGTGGGCGCATATGGAAACAATTATTCCGGAATCCCACCTTGCTATAATTTTCCTATATAGTAAGTTACATAACTGCTTAAGCTAAATTAGCCAAACTACATTTTTTATTTATCATTGAATGGCATATTGACTAAAATATTATAAGTCACTAGATGGGAAATTCTTTAATCAATGCATTGCCGTTATTGTTCTAATTTTCATTTCCCTAAGCGATATTGACGCAAACTAGTTCAGATGCTGAGGTGCTAATTATTAGGTCTATTTATTACCAACTGGGCTTTATAATTTCTTATGATCAAGTTGATTGTCCTTTTGCTGTGCGCGTATGCCCTGCTATAGCAGAACTTAGAAAAACGTCCTGGTACACATCTGCCGATAAAGGCATTCCTTTCTGGGTATTTAACTTTTCATCACCAAAATTGGGATGCTTGCCTTAGCTATCAACTTCATTTTATTCAGGGCAATTCCAAGCCCAAATCGGTCTTGTATCTGCTTTCCTCTTCTCCCTTCTAGTTACCATTTACACTAATGCATGTATCTATGTACATATATATGGGTACATATATATATGTTTCGAAAAAAAATTTTCCTATCCATGCTCATCATACATAGGCGGAATTATATTTTCCATCCTGACGTCTCTATCACGCATATATATTTTCTTATGACATACTTCTTTATGGACCTATTTAATATAGCTACATAATGGAGATTACTTTGCTTTATTATGCATGCTTGGAAGATTTTTATCCTTCTACTTTTTAAGAGCCAGCCTAATACTTTTTAAATGTACTTATGTCTGGATTGGATCCGTTCACTGCCCCGAACATTTAATGCAGAGCTTTAAATTTCAATACACTTATATGGACGAGAAAGTAACCTGCTACGATGCATTTATTTACGCCTGTTTTTTTATCTTCCTTCTAAACATCAGGGTTTACTTCTGTCACTCTTAATGTCTGCTAAAGTTTGGCTGGGAAACTCATCTTTCCTAGGCCTGGTAAGTTCTTGAAAGTCAAATAGGTCCTGTTTTAGTGAGGATAGGAGGCCTAAACTCACAAGGATCGAAATACTTCCTAGTTCGAGTAATGAGATAGTATTGTGTATTCTTTAGCCTTAGTGTTTATCGAAATATGACTGCTACAAACTCAGGGCTATTCTCTAGGTTAATAAAACTAGTGTTTAATCATTGAACTGTTGTTACTAACTCAAATTCTGCCATGAAGTTTTCCCCAGGTCCCTATTGGTTACTTATATTCCTTATATTTGAGTTTTAACCTATACTTCCTTCAATATCTTATCTGGTTGCTTTCTAATATTTCATCTACTATTGTTTGCCTTTCAATAAAAAAAATTAAGTCAGTATCTTCATATCGCTCTGAAGCCGGTGCTAATTAACTGCATGGTTTTTGCCTTCAAATAATCAAGGTAGAGATAACAAGATAGATTTTTTTCTTGCTAGCACTGAAGAAAGTGGTTTACTTTACCTATTACTTATAATTTCACTGTCGGGATTAATATTTTGGCAGAAAAATGTCCAGATGAGGAAAAGGGATTGATGATAGATGTACTCAGTGGTATTACACCTATATTTATTCCTTCGAAACCGGCAGTTTTGACTCTTGCTCGAGACAAGTCCTCAATTTTGTTGATATATGCATACACACACACGCACATATATATACCTATATATGCTTTGGTTTTTTCGTCGAATTTTCTTTAGCTCTCTTAATCCTTATTTTCGCTCTGCCCTCATCAGGCATTAGGGCAGTTGCTGAGTGCATGGCCAAATCGAAGAGTGAAGAGACTCAAGAAGCAGCCCGCTGTCTTTTAGAGATTCTAGCCGAAGGCAATCCACGTTTTGCTGACCAAGTATATAAAGGCCTCATTGGAGTTCTCCCTTGCGACTCGGCCAAAGCCCAGCAACTTGCTCTACAAACTATCCGCATCCTCCAGGTAATCTGGGAAAATAAAAAACAAAATTTTAAATATGGACTGATTCCAAGGGCTGTTTCCCTATATAAATAATTAAGACCGACTTAATTAAATGACTTGCACAACCGAATATTATCCACAATCGTGTTTCCTGGGCCCCATCCAAATTTGTTTGTTATCTTGTTTATTTCCATCTGTCAGTCCAAACAATTACTCAATTATTCATTTGTATTTTACTGATTAATTCAATAATTAATCCTTATCATTCAAAGTGTTAGGCCCAGCAATACTTGTTCCGTCACAGCATCTACATGGTAGGTAGTATGATAAATTTAATGCTTAATCACATCTTCACTCTCTACTTACATTGAATATGAGGTAAGAACGATTTGCCTTGTAGCCAGTAACTACTCTCTGTAATCAAGGCCCTATGGTAGATCGTCACGTGTCTTCATACTTTCACTTCTCGTGATTATTGTTTAGTATAATGATTAAATATCAGCTAGGTCAAAATCACGATTGAGTTAAACAGAGTCCATTATCAAAGTATTGCAATGCGATCCTGTAGCAAAGTTGGGCAAATTCTTTTTCTAAAGCATCATAGTTCCATCATCTCCATTATGACTCTAGTCTCTGTCCGATTCACAGCGAATATCTTTTGAATGTGATGATGACTATAAAAAGATGGAGTTGATAATGAGCTAGAGACCAGCAAAATGTATGGTTTACAATTCAAGATAAGATTCAGATAACTACTTTATTATATCCTATTTGGATTTAGGTATATATTAGATTGTCTCCATCTATGCATACTCTCTATTTTTCGTCATTAATCATTTTTTGTCTTTTTCCATTCTTTAAGCTGCGTTGTTTTCTCATATATTCTTAGTGGGGCTTTCACTAGACACATTCTGTTATTACCAGTATTTTTTTTACATTGTTATTAGTTTCTTTCTTTATTACTTATATAGCTCATTTAAATGGTCAAAATGTAAGCTACCTTTTTTTATATCAGGCTTAATGATTTTGTATCACTTGATTCTTACTATATTTCAATCATTTGGTGAGCAGCTTCATCAGAATCAAACGTTTGTAACTAAGTGGATGGTAGAGCCGGGTTAGAACGAGATTATTTACATTCATTAGGGAGTTGACCTTATTTTCTTATAGCTGCTGTGCTTAAAGGAAGCTCGAAGGAAAAACTCTCCCTTTAATACTGCACCTAAGTGCCCTTTAAGCAAAGGGTTGTTTAGCTGATATTCATTTAAATCTTTCAGTATTGCTACATTATTCTTTATTTTCTGCACATGGTTTGATGGAACTCGCCTGAATTTTTCATAAACCTTTTTTCTCAGACCTTATGCACTAGTTTCACCTATCCTTCTATACTTCCTCATTATTACTCCTGGTGAGAGTAAACTTTAGCTTTACTAGAGAATTTATTTTATCTGAATTCCACTACTGTTCCCTTTCTTTATTTTTTGTACAAATTAATGTCTCGCATAACAAAAGCAGGTTAATTAATCTTATACAGACTATATAGTACTTTCATATTTTTACTACATTTTATTTTATTCCTTCCGCTATTTTTCCTACTTTTATGTCTATTCATGAAGGACATTTTAAGATGCATGTACTAAAGTCTCATCTGCCAACAATTTAATACAGTTTACTCTTGAGCAGCTATGAGTTTTAACTGAGTTCTGAAATATATTGCAAATGTTTACGCCACTACGAAAATAGTCTTCGATTCATTATATATATATATATATATATATATAGCTAATTATTTTCTATATAATAATTAATTAAGCTGATACTGAGCCACGAAAATCATTAGTTCATATCCTTATTTTGTCCTTCAGAACATATATGAGTAGTATTGGTTCAATCTAAATCCTTTCCGAAATGTTTGTACCTCATGATGTGCATAGTTGAAGTCTTTTTTTGTCATTACACACATGTATTGCTGTTCTAGCGTGATTATCATAACCGGTTTGTATGTCTACTTGAGAAACTCTTCACTGTCTGATTTTTTGGGAATAATTTCTGCTGCTTGCTATTACTCTAAGTATCATGTAGTTACTTTAAACCGAAAATGGCGAACTTGCAAAAAGTGCCATCAAAAGACTCTACCTAATCTGGCCATCGTGTAGGCCGCTAGCATTATTTAGAGACATAGGAACGCTTCTATTTCTCCGTCTTTCAATTACGCTCTAAGAACTTGACGTTGTGAACCTCACTAGCTCATTCTTATAACAGTGATAGCCAGAGGTGAATTCACAGTCCTTTACAACATCCATTCATTCTCGTCGCAAATTGATAGTAAGCCTAAAGCTGAATAATAGACAGGTTCGCCACATCGATGGATATAGATAAAAAGGCCCTCATTTCCTCTAAAGTCAGGAATGTTTTCAACTCAAGGACGCTTTCCTTCTGGAATTATACCTTTAATATTTACTTCCGCAGCACCACATGCTGCTAGTAGTATCGCTGATACAGGTGATGTCGGAACTGCCTCTGCACTGATAACAGGTAGAATGAAGCTTATTTTCCGTTTATAAGTGGATTTTCTAGACTAACCGTATATCTGATACAAGAGTTGTGTTCACCCTATTTCGTTTATGGTGATTGAGGATTGGTATTTGAGTTTTCCCACAATGATATGAGTAAGCCTCATGTTTTCACTGAATTTCACATAGCCTTACTTAGCAAAAGGCATTTATCCAGGATGGACTACAGTTTCGATCTCGCTTAGGCATCATTAGCACTCGCAACAGGTCACGAGCCGTGATAGTGCATCAAATAATCCAGACACGTTAACCACTACGCAATTGCCATGAGTGCCCTAGAGTCACAGGGCAGGTGCGAATTTAAAGGAAGCCTAGACTGTTCTTATATCACAGTTCTATGGTTGTATTGTCGGTGAAGCAAGGTTGTATTTACCATTATCATCGCATATATTATGTATTTTCCGTTATAAATAGTTTTTTGAGAAAACCAGTAGATCCTATATAAGAATGGTATTTACCCTATTTCGCTTAAAATAAACCAGTGACACTCATGGAAGTGTTGCATAGAGGTTAATTTAACGAAACGATACACCACACTACGCGAGTTCTAGTCCATCTTTGGTTAATGATAAGATCTAGGCGAGGTCGGAACTGTAGTCCACCATGGATGAGAACACCTTTTGGTAATAAAGACTATATGAAATTAGAAGGAAACATTAGGCTTATTAATATTATTGTAGAAAAATTTAACTACCGGTCCTTCATCATATTATATAAAACATGGGAATCTATAAGAAAGAAACTCATTTGAAATCTTGATTACTTGTAAATTACTTTCGATTAGGTCATTTGTTAATTCCATTCCATTTTATATTCACAAAGAGTCTTCCTTACCTTTACACTTTATCCATTGTAATTAAAACAATCTTTCTTGATCTTTATATGACTTATCAGATTCGTGTTTATTTTCTCCAAAAGCAAATATTCATTTTAAAAGCAAACTCTTTTTAGTGCATGAAGATTTATCAGAATATTGCTCAGTTTAGTATTCTGTTTTGGAAATTCTTTTGAAAAGATTGGGAAAATTATAGTGGACTATTGCCCACAGCATAGATATTCTTTCAATAATACTTCCATGCTCTAGAAATAAGCTCACTATTGATCTTGCATTTTTCCTAGCTACCGTTATAATTTTGTTCGCTTTTGGATTTTTCCTTTTTCATATTTATCATTTTGTCAAACTAGATTGTAGATACTAAGAAAAACTGGGTTTCAATGAATCTCCTGAGATAACTTTGTTAGAGGGACCTTCATTTCGTATGAAAGTGCACCAAGAAGAGATTCGTTGGTCGATCTCACCAGATGACGACGGATGAAACTCGTTGTACTGCAGCCGGTTGGA